AGGGAAAGGGAAAGGGAGAGAAGGCGGGCTGCCGAAGGGGAAAGGGAAGGGGAAAGGAAAAGGGAAAGGGAAGGTAGGACAATTAGGCCAAGGGAAGAAGGGCGGCCAAAAGAAAAGTGCAGAATTTGAATTTTGTGGCTTAACGGTAACTAAACCTGTACCAACTTTAGTTTTAGTACTACAGAAAGAAGAATCCCTTTGAGCTGGTTTATAACTGAGTGCGTTCAAGTCATAAATGCATGAGTTGAACCCTCCAGCCTTGAAAGCTAAATGCTGCTTGGAAGAGCTTAAGCTGGGTATGTTGCAGAGAGGTGATGGGCTCTGTACCAGGCTTGCTTTGCAGAATGATTGCAATGCTCTCCCTTCGCTGCACTGGAAGCCATCGACAGGGGGAATTTCAAGCTTGTAGATGCCGAATTTGTCTGTGGTGCGCTTTGTGTTGATGGAGATTTCCTCCCCTGATGTTGTCTCTGTGGAGAACTTGCAGGATATCTGCACTGTGGCCCCTGAAAGCGAAGAAATATGGAAAGTTCGTGAAATTGATAGAAAGAAGTGAAAGATTGGTTTTTTTTTTTTCACACCTTCACACCTTGGAGGAAGTAACTGTGTTTTTTTTCACACCTTGGAGGAAGTAACTGTGCTTAGAGAAGGTGTTCTCGGAGCAAGCATCGCAGAAGACGGTGCCCACCACAGTAACATTAACAAGGGAGCTTGAATGGATGACTGGAACTAAGAATAGAAGGAGAAGAGGGAAGAGGATGAAGTTTGCCGCCATGGCTTGGTCTCCAAAGCTTGGTTTGGGGAAGATTGTATAAAGCTGAGCTTTTTATTGGGCGAGGGTTGTCCGTGAGCGGGCATTGTTTGTGATGGAGAGAGAGAATTGGGGAAGAGAGGGGATGGGAAAAGAAGTATCCATTCACATGGAACAAAGACATGTGAAGAGCTGCCTTTGGAATTATGTGATGTATTTTAGAGGGGGAGTTTGTTGGGGCTGTGCTCACGGGTGGTGTCAATGACTTGTGATGACAGCGAGAGTTCTACTAAGTCCACCGGAAGATTGGTTTTTGGTGATTATTGGTTCTGTTATTTCCTCTGTTGAGTTGTATGATTGATGTTTTATGATGATCAGTGGGGCGTGGAGAGATGCCAGAATAGAAGATTTGTGTTGTGATTTTAGTGGAGTTTGTCGCTCTTTGAATTCGGATGGGGTGCATTTTAATCTTGACTCGTGTGTAGGATTAAAGAAAATAGTTGTGAATAGTAGTCCAACAATCTGTTAAATACTTAGAAAGCTATCACAAGTATTAAAAGTAATGCTCGTAATAAAATAAATTAAAAATATACATTTATTTTTCGTAAAATAAAAATTACCTACCTCGATGTTCAGAGTTTAGATTTAAGTTTCAGTTGAGATCTAAAGACATGACAATTGACATGAAAGGACTTAAAAATAATAAATAATACTGCTCTCAATGAGCCTTATATACTCACAAATGGGCATCTAGTCAAGTATTATTGTTGTGCCATAAATAGTCATAACTTTGTCTAATTTAATTAAATTTAAATACATGATTATAAACATTCCATGGTCAATCTCCAAATTGATTTTGTCAAAAAAAAAAAGTTTTAGCATTTACGAGGAATTAATATATCTAACCATAATGATGAGAAAGATAGCAAAAAAATTTCAATCAAATAAGAATATTAAGTAAATTGAAATGATGCTCAATAGTCATCAATAAATTTTGACATTTAGTACAAATCTTGAGGTGATTAGCACGAATTCACAACTCATGAAGCTCTAAAATAATCTTCGAATATTATTGCAGCAAGTCACAATGGCCTACGTGGCCTGCAATTCATGAAGCTTCCAACTCTGTCCTCAGAGGCTTACGAGTGTTATTGTATCTCACCACTATAATCTACGTGATTAATCATGATCCACATAGCTCATGCATCTTCCAACTCTGACATCTATAGCCTACAGTTGTTATTGTAGCTTACCACTACAACCTCTATGACCAACTACGACCTATGTGGTCTACAACTCATGCAGCTCCTAACTTCGGTCTCTGTGGCCAACATCTATTATTGCAGCTTACTACTACGACTTATGTTACCAACTATGATCTACATGGTTCATAACTCTTGTAGCTCCCAACTCCGACCTCTATGACCTACGAAAGTTATCGCAACCCAACACTACGACTCACATGTTCAACTATAATCTAAGTGGTACAAAGCTCACGCAACTCCCATCTTTGGCCTCCGTGGCCTATATACATTATTGCATCTTACCACTACGGCCTACATGACCAATTATGACCTACGTGGTTCACAGATCTTGTAGCTCCAACTACGTCCTCTATGACCTACGAAAGTTATCACAATCCACCACTAAGGCTTGCGTGACCAATTGGTCGACAACTCATACTGCTCTCAACACCATCCTTCATGACCTATAGATGTTATCGCAGATCGTCATCACAGCCTACATGACCAAGTATGACTTATGCGGTCTAAAACTCATATAGCTCTCAACTTCAGCCTCTATGGCCTACATATGTTATCATAGCTCACCACTACGACTTATGTGACAAACTACGACCTACGTGACTCATAACTACATCTCCCAACAACTGAAGCTCGTGAATCCACCGCCACATTCTACATTATCAACTATTACCACGACTTTCAACTATGACCTTTATGATGAGCTGATCCTACAACCATCGTCTACAATATTTTCGGCAAAATAACGCCTTCATATCAATCGACTACGGTCTTTGTAGCCTGTTACAACTATTATTGATGAACTATCATTGTACACCGACATTGTAATTTCATCTTTTCTATTTGAAGAAAAGAGTGGACATATATACTTACAATTTCTTATTGGATTATTATGACTAGGCCATGCCCTATGGTTTTCCTCTATCTAAGGTTTTCGTGCCAAAATTGTGGTGTATCCTTCCACCACTTATTATTAATACTATTATTATTTGTGTGTGTAATGGATCTCACAATATGCTAGGATGCTAATTTATTACTCTACTGATGAGGTCGTCCATCATTCATCAAGGCTAATGAAAGAAGTTGTCAAGGATGAAGGAGTCAATAAATTATCATACAAAATTCCTTTTTGACTAAGCTATAAAAAAAGGAAGGATTTCTTAGTTAAAAAGCAAGGAGGGACATTGGAAGAATAGAACAACACAATTTGTTGTCATTTATTTGAAAGAAAATCATAAAAAGGAAAATCATAATGAAAAGATCAAAGGAGGGAATACAAGTTTGAGTGTCTTATGATAATAACAACTAAAAAAAATCATCGGTAAAGATGTGAGTCTCAAAGCTTTAAGGGATGCGGGAGAGATGTTTGACATAAAAGTTGGTTATGTAATGAACCATAGCTAATGTCTCAAATTGCAATCAAAGGTGGCATCAAGTCTAATTGTGTAGGGATAATTGTTGAGTTGGTTCATGAGAGATCTTAAGAGTAAATAGTGAGCTAGTTGCGATATGGTTTATAAGATTGACTTTAACCAATCCCTCAAATCATGATTTTAGGTGACATTGGGCAAAATACGCACAGAAAAAAAAATGTGGTCGAGGTAGTTTGCTAAAGATGAGAGAGGTGAGCATAGAAAAAAAAAAAGTGGTCGAGGTAGTTTGCTAAAGATGAGAGAGGTGAAACGAGACATGAGTTGAGGAGTGTAAGTATTATTATTATTATTATTATTATAGTTGTTGATTATAACATACTTGAAGCACCGTACTATTATGATGCATCATGCAAGTTTCTACTTATTAAATCATTCTTAAAAAAATTGAACACTCGATCTAATGTGTTTTATTAATAAAATCAATAGGTAGGGGCAAAATCATATAAAAACTCGAAGGTATTATTTATCACCACCCATTTTCAAATTTCCACAATGAAAAACTATAGATTTAAATATTATATAACATAATGAATGTGAATAAACTAATTCCTTGTAAGAATTTTTATCTAATTATCATTTTATGTTTTTTTTTTTCTAAAGATGGGAAAGTTAATCAGAGAAATGAGATGCATTAAAGTTAGTACAAGCTTTGGCACTTATTACAATTTTTTTTGTTTATTATCATTTGTTTTCGACCAAAATTTAACGGCTTATGTTGCTACTTTTAGATTCTCAGCTATAAAAAAAATGTATAAAATTACTTAATTTATAAAAGAGGAATCATGCAATCCAAAAAAAAAAAAATGCACAAAATTTTTGTCACATTGTCTCTTAATTCTGGAGAACAATAAAAATTCTCCCTCATAAATATTTGTACACAAGACTCTCTCTATTTTTATTGAGTTATCTAAAAAGTGGATCTCAAAAGAAATTTTCTCAAATTGTTTGAAGAATGTTTCAAAACTCGTTATAAAAATAAGACTGGCAATTATATTTTATTGATATATTATTCCATCATATCAAATATATTATGATATCTAATAATTTGATTTTATTTGACTACTATTACATTGATATTTAGATTACTAAACATTGGGATAATCCATTATAGTTTAGCATTAGCTTCTCCGAGGTTATACATACATACACACATGCATCCTTTCGACTTGTTTCATGTCAACAAGTCCTAAAAGAAGGAGAAACCTCTGTTTATCAACTCTCAATTGTAAGGATGCACTTCTTCCTCATCTTCCTCTTCTCTTTCTTTTATCGACTACATCTTATAACATATGCTCTTATGCTACCTTGTATGGAAATTAGATCCACATTAGGTAGGCTTTATGTCTCTATCATAAGATCTCCTTTCTTATTGCTGAATTCATCTCTCAGTAGCTTGATTTACATCACCCACACATCTATTTATTAAATTATCTATTATTTGTTCCTTCTTTTCATTCTTAATCGAAATGTTTCAATATTTTTATGTATTTATACTTTTGATGTACATGCCTTTCTTTTGTATCTATTTGTCGCGTGTTCTTATATGTGATGTAACATTTTTCTTTTTGTTTAGCAGTTTTACTAGATGCAATAATATAAATATTATTAAAATGTTTTATAAAAGATAAGTTTTAAGCAAAATAGCTGTGCAAATAATGTTTGATGTCAAAGTCTGTTCTTCTTCTCTGTTGAATTCTAATGCGACATCAATTTCACTAATGCTCCTCTGAAGTATGTAGTGATACACAAGTTCAGTACGTACAACCGATTAGGGGGATACAAAAAATTAACTAGTGATATGTATAGAACTTCCTGATAACGTTAGGATTGATGGAATGAATGTTTGCCGTTTAAGACTTCAAATTTTAGTCAATTTGAAATTGAAATTGATATCCTCCAGTTCAAAAATAGCTTGTATGAAATAATTTCCATAAAACTCAAAATTAACTCAATATCATATACACACAGGCACACAAATATATATATATACCTCACCAACTTCAACGGCTATTGAAATGGTTATACATTTATACCTAATATATAAATTTTTATATTTCACCTTAGATGACTTAATATTAGTGATCTTCCTAATATAATTTAGAGATTTGAATTGTATAAATAATATATATATATATATAGCAATTTTATAATGCCTCATAAATTGAGTTGTTGCGTGTCGAAAGATTCGCGACGGTAGAATGATAATATAACGTCTAAGCGTTGACTGAAGATCCAACATACACAAATGAAACAATATAGCGCGTGTTGAAAGATTCGCGACGGTAGAATGATAATATAACGCCTAAGCGTTGTCTGAAGATCCAACATACACAAATGAAACAATATAGCAGGAGGGGATATCAATATTTTTTTATAAGGAAAAACCATGGAAAGGGAAAAATATCACGGGGCTTAGCTCGGTCAGAGTAATCTACTATATGATCGTAAGTGCATTGTTGCACACTTCTTCTGTATTAGAGAGATTAAATTACAGTGT